ACACGTTATTTTGTCCAGGAAATGCTTTAACATGGAGTGTGTTGAAGAGTCTGATCCCCGATATACTAAATCACGGTAAATGAATGAGCTCCAGGTAACGTCTCTCTAAACGAACCTCTGTGATGAATTTCATCGGTGTAATCAAAACCCGAGTTCATTAGAAATCCCCGGCCGCTCGGAAACCCCATTAAAAGTGGCCTCTCCGCTATATAGTGCTAAGGAGGCAATTAATTAGTTCCCGGGCTCCAGGTGTGCGCTTAACAAGCTCGCTCCGTCGTCATCCCGTCCTTTGTATCTGCAGCATCATGCAAATCACAAGCTGGAAATCAAATTTTGTCGTGTCAGGGAAACAATACAAACTAAACATAATCCGCATCTGTTATCGGCTAATGAGGGACATTCTGGGAGACGTATAAAGAATATCTCCTCCCCCGACTATACCCCCTCGTCCCAAACAAATGGGTATGCATTTGTTTGGGAAAGCTAAGCAGAACCTGCGGCCTCCCCATCAGTCTTCTATCTGACCTCCTTCCTCCCCTTCAGTCTTCTATCGACCTCCGTCCTTCCCTTCCGTCTTCTATCTGACCTCCGTCCTCCCCTTCAGTCTTCTATCGACCTCCGTCCTTCCCTTCCGTCTTCTATCTGACCTCCGTCCTCCCCTTCAGTCTTCTATCGACCTCCGTCCTTCCCTTCCGTCTTCTATCTGACCTCCGTCCTCCCCTTCAGTCTTCTATCGACCTCCGTCCTTCCCTTCCGTCTTCTATCTGACCTCCGTCCTCCCCTTCAGTCTTCTATCGACCTCCGTCCTTCCCTTCCGTCTTCTATCTGACCTCCGTCCTCCCCTTCAGTCTTCTATCGACCTCCGTCCTTCCCTTCCGTCTTCTATCTGACCTCCGTCCTCCCCTTCAGTCTTCTATCTGCCCTCCGTCCTCCCCATCAGTCTCCTATCTGACCTCCGTCCTTCCCTTCAGTCTTCTATCGACCTCCGTCCTTCCCGTCAGTCTTGCACAGTTGCACTGGCTCCTCTCCTCTTCCTCTGATTTCACTGCACACTGTGAGCTTCTCTGCCTTCTGCTCTCTCCTCCTATCAACATGCTCCTTGCTAGCAAATAAGCAGCAAACCCGATTGGCTCCTTGTGCTGCTTCTTCCTCCCCCAGGGATTTCAAGAGACTGATACCTTGGCTGATGGTGGAGAATGGACCTGAGGACAATAGGAAATACCAAGGCTCTACAGCTTCATCTAGTGGCGGAGGATGGACCCAAGGAGCATAGGAAATTCCACGGCTCCTCAGCTCCATCTAGTGGCGGATGATGGACCTGAGGAGCATAGGAAATTCCACAGCTCCTCAGCTCCATCTAGTGGCGGATGATGGACCTGAGGAGCATAGGAAATTCCACGGCTCCTCAGCTCCATCTAGTGGCGGATGATGGACCTGAGGAGCATAGGAAATTCCACGGCTCCTCAGCTCCATCTAGTGGCAGAGGATGGACCCAAGGAGCATAGGAAATTCCACGGCTCCTCAGCTCCATCTAGTGGCGGATGATGGGCCCGAGGAGCATAGGAAATTCCACGGCTCCTCAGCTCCATCTAGTGGTGGAGGATGGACCCGAGGAGCATAGGAAATTCCACGGCTCCTCAGCTCCATCTATTGGTGGAGGATGGACCCGAGGAGCATAGGAAATTCCACGGCTCCTCAGCTCCATCTAGTGGCAGAGGATGGACCCGAGGAGCATAGCAAATTCCAAGGCTCCTTAGCTCCATCTAGTGGCAGAGGATGGACCCCCAGCAGCATAGGAAATTCGAAGGCTGGTCAACTCCATCTAGTGGTGGAGGATGGACCCAAGGAGCGGAGCATAGAAAATTCCAAGGCTCCTCACCTCCATCTAGTGGCAGATGATGGACCTGAGGAGCAAAGGAAATTCCAAGGCTCCTTAGCTCCATCTAGTGGTGAAGAATGGACTCCTAAGCTCCATCTAGTGGTGGAAGATGGACCCGAGGAGCATAGGAAATTCCAAGGCTCCTCAACTACCATCTAGTGGTGTGAATGCCGTGTGAATGGCATTCTCCCCTTGTCTGGCTGGGCAGAAGAATTGTAAGCAGGCCCCTTAATGATTTTTTTTATGAGCACCTATCTTCATATCTGTCTAGAGTTCTTCTTTAGAAATATGGAAGCCGCCATTGTTTTTTAAGGATTAAACTCCATCACTGTCATCTTCATCCTTGATTTACTGCTTAGTGAGTCACTGTACACTGGGATTTCCACCATCACAGTCTGGATGAGTCACTGCTTATGCAGGGTGAAGATGGCCTGCACCTTTTGAAGCCGCCAATGGCAGCTCCCATGTTTTTTCCCCTGACAGGTTACATTAACAGAACAAAGCGCACTTGAGGTCCGCCAGCCCGTGTCCTACGACGCACAGCAGTGCAATGATCACATAATCATCACTTAAACATTTCGGTATTATTGCGACATATCACTCAAATGATTTCCCACGCATAAAATAAGGTTTACAAAAAAACGGCGCCCTCGCCTTTTACGACGCGCAGCGGCAATTATACCAATGTCAACACGTTGTGCATGAAATAACCGGGCTTAATTTTATTTTGTAAAATCCATAATGCTAACAATTATAGATAATTATATCCCCCCGAAAATGTACATTCCTGACATTTACTTCCTAATTTGCTTTAGCAATGTTTTCCTTCCAGCCAATCAAAAAACAATCCGGAACGTTTCAGCTGATTTCGGAGTCTATTAAGGCTGCAAATGATCAGTTTTTTTTTTTTTTGGGTGCTAAAGTGTTCATTATACATCGAATTAGATTAAAACACAAATATATGTTACGGGAGAATCCGTATTTCTTCTGGTTTTTCTTAGACAATTCGTTTCGTTTTGAATAAAAATTTGGACACATTTTCCGAAATTAGGACACATCCACATTTCCGAATCCCGATGCATCAGAATGTCTCCGAATACGAATTTCCATTTTCGAATTTCGGATCCCGTCTGAATTTCGTTCAAACACAAAACTGAATGGGACATGTGACTTTTCTGGCCATTCAGATGTGTTTTTCGGTTTAATGCATCCGAATGGGTCTGAACGCGAATGTTACAGCTAAATGGGAGCCATCTGATTGACCACAAAAGTCACGAAAATGTGTGTTTAGTGTATACATATAATACCAAAGCTGAGGCTCCTAGACTCGAATGGCAAATGCAATTCGGAAATTCGGAACACAAATGCCATTCGGGTCGGGGAACGTCAGCTTTAGTAATATAAGTATATGGCTCACAGACCTGAATGGCATTCAGGAGCTCCTGAATGCAATTCGGAAATTCGGATCTCGAATGCCATTCAGGTGTAGGAGACTCAGCTTTAGTATTCATATCTGTATATAGTTGTATGTGGTAGTCGTAAACTCATCCGAAACTAACGAAATTTGGATTTCGTCCAAAACCCAAACCGAATTGAATTGCGGATTTGGATCCCGAATTCCGAACCAAATTTGCAGCTTACATGTCTACACGAGACAAAAGATCTTACATTATGTTTACTTTGTTTCCAATCTATTGTTCTAAAGTTTAAAAGCTTCCAGCTGACGGGCCAATAGGCACATCTGAGCTTGGGTGGGTCTACTTTTGGCGTGGAGTAAACAGACTGAAATGGCTAGTTCAGTCCTCAACATATTGGATAGAAAATCACGTCATCTAAGCCAACATTTTGGGGCCACGCAGGTTCCCTTCTTTAGGACGACATGGAAAATGTAACAGGAACAACTGAGTCACACAAAGATGGATGGGAACAGCAAAAACTCCCAGGGGCATGGCAAGAAGATCTCACTACTGGAGTATCCAAGACATATAGAAGAAGAAGGGGTTACTCAGTCCAATAGTCTTCAACTATCACTGAAATACTAGTGACCTTGTTATTAACCTTAAAAATTTAGGTAAAAGTGCAAAAAGAAGTATTTTCAATGCTTACTTGCCGTGTTTTTCTTTCCAAAATTGCAATGTGACCTTTGAACTTACTAGAAAATGTTCCTTACCCTGAAGTGTCAATTCCCCAGCACAGCCCCCTAGGACATCCTTGTACAACATAGCCCTCTCCTCCTCTGGTAGTGTCTAAATACTCTCTGTGCTGGCCCATCTTCTTCTCCCCTCCCCTTACCTCCCTATATACTTTTATGTAGTTTCCGAGGGAGGAGTGAATTCTATAGCGTCTGCTGACATCGCATCCAAGATGGCAGCACCCAGCAGCAGTCTCGGGGCTTTTGGATTTCTACACAAAGGACATCATGATGTCATCTTCACTGAAGAGTGTAGTTGAAATGAGCGGTCTGGTGACAGGGTCTCTTTAAGGTGTACTGACCCATTAAGGTACCAATGGATAAAAGATTTCTCAGTCCAGTCCAGTTGTATTTGACTTGCACGAAATACTTTAACTTCCATAAAATACAGAACGAAATGAACAAAAATGTATATTATAATGTGTATAAATATATATAATAAATATAAACTATATCTCCACGGGGCAACTGGCTACATTTCTTCTATAAGTTTTAAGATTCCTACTAACCCAACTGCCTAGTAGTAATAAATGATTTGTCAATTTCAGCTACAGATGTCTGTGAGGGTTCTCATTCATCCAGGCCATGGTATATCTGTAGAAAATACATTAAAACAGCTGGACTTGCTGTATTTTACTTGAAGACGTTTTGCTGGTCATCAGACTAGCCTTCTCGAGTCAGCGTGCCTTGAGAAAGCTAGTTGGATGACCAGCGAAACGTCTTCAAGAAAAAAAACCAGCAAGTCCAGTTGCTTTTGATTTATTTTCTACAGATATCCATTGAAAGAATTCATTTTGAAGAGCGTTAGGATATTCTGACAAAAGAATGCGGCTCTGGTATCAGCAACTGCTTTAGATTCGTTCTTCAATCACTATAATCCGAACCAGTTTTATTTTATAAGCAACATCCGCTCTCGCCATCTATAGGTACCTGGTATATGCTTTCCTCTGTGTCTGGGTCTCGTATGGACTCGTGGCCAGCTTCGAACACTATGTACTATGGTATCGTCCAGCAAAGGAGAAAGAGAGCAGAAACCACAGTGAGGAGGGGGGGAAAAATAGAAAAGACAGAGAATTCAGGAACAAAGTAAAGTCAGCAGCAAACAAGAAATTCAGAAAGTACACAGATAGCATTTGATAAATATCGAAGAGTGATGTGTGATGCCGGTGAGCTGCAGCTCTGGTGGGTTTAACATTGACATGCATGCCATTTGTATGTCCTTCTAGAGTCTGCGGGAGCTCCCGGAGGTCGGGATTGTCCCCCAAAACATGTAAAGAATTGTATCAATGAGAATGTTTGTTCCTCATATAACTTGTATTTATTCCCTTCTAGATTGTAAGCCCTCAGGGGCAGGGCCCTCCTCTCCATCTTGTCTTGAATTGTATTGTAATTGTAATGTCTTCCTTATATTGTACAGCGCTGCGCAAACTGTTGGCGCTCTATAAATCCTGTATTATAATAATAATAATATTTATATGTGTTGGAGCAACCGTGTCTACTCAGATACATCATATGCTTTCCACTTAGTCTACAGCACTGGGACTGATCATGTGATAAAGGCAGGACTTCCCTCCAAGCGGACTGGAACAAGCTACCACGGTGTCTACAGACCAGAATCAGGTAAGTACATAGAGTATAGATTTGAAAAAGCCTTGCAATGTATATAGCGGACCGGGAGGAGATTGTTTGTTTTGTTTTTTGTTTTTTTTACTTGAAGTGACCTTATTGTTGAGTTTTAAAATAGTCTTAAGAAGCAGGACCTGCAGAAGAAGAGGGTTTATACTCACATGGCGCCCCCCTATTCCTCCAATCTTTATGCTGCAGAGCAATGGCCTCTTCACATCCAACACATTTTGCACTTTGTTGCGATACACACTTTATCCCCGGGCATGTCTCCCACAGAATTTTTGATCTGAGGTTCAGCCGTGCTCATCTTCTGGGTTGAATGACAGCCAGGGTTATCCATCCCACTTCCTGTGGACCCAGGCTGTCATGGACACACCCCTGTGGATGCATTATCATGAAGCCTGGGCTCACAGAACATAGTGGCACCCAGGAGGAGCGACTGCCCTCCACCGCCACCGAGGAAAAAGGGGAAGGCCTTGTGATTTCACCAGAGCAAACGGAAGGCTGCCGTATTTAGACTAAAAGGGAAGATTGCCTTGCAAAGTGAACAGCCTGCGTGCTTTTAGTATATCAGCCGCTTTGCACCGAATCTTTAGGGGTTGATGCCCTAAAGGCAGGGGCATAACTAGAAATCACAGGGCCCCATAGCAAAATTTTGTATGGGGCCCTGTGATTTCTAGTTACACCCCTTGAAGAGCCCACTTGAGATCCCACACAGCCCACCTGAGGGTGACCCTGCAGAGCCCACCATAGACTCTCTATGGTGGGCTCTGCAGGGTCTCAGGTGGGCTAGTCACACTCCTTACCTGGCCATCTCCTCTTCCTCTGCGGTCACACCGTCACCGTACCCCGCCTCTCCCCCTGCTGTCGACCTTGGGCCCCGCCCTCTCCTCCACTGCCGGACTCAGCCTCCTCCACCGCCGCTGCTGGCTCTCACTGACTCAGCAGCGGCTGTGGAAAGGAACGCACCGCTTCACAAATCACTGTGAGTGATCGGAACAGTGGTCCGTTCCTCTTCACAGCTGCCAGTGACAGCCAGCAGCATGAGATGCCATAGCGACCCAGGCGGCCCGCACGGCATCAGGGCCCCATAGCGGTCGCCTGGGTCGTTATGGAGATTGTTAAGCCACTGCCTGAAGGCAGGTAGGCGCTTCACTCTTCACTTAGCTTAGTAAATGTGGTGGAATTTCACTTTGCAAAGAATACCCAATCATGTGCAAGGAAAGTAAAAAATAAACAGTATTTTTGCTTGCATATGATTGGATGATGGAGGACAGCGGAGCTCCAAGTGTTATCAGGGGTGTGAGGAGGAGATGAACTGCTTTTGACGGGCGACATTTTTTTTATAGACACGACTCAAAGTTTCATTATACGAAGCAGAATTGGAGCTACCGAAATTGAACGACTGCCACCGATCGAACCCGTGCTTGGTAGAGTAAAGCTCCACGTGCCATCAGGGAGAGCGATACAGAGGAAGTGACATTGACGGCGTTGTATAATACCGCAGATTAACTCATTGCCACCGTGTCACTTGTACTTGATGGAGATAATCTGATTTGGCTCAGCGAGCTTATTAATTCTGGATTAATAGTAAAACAATGTGACTGCCAGCCGGCTGGGGTGTTACATTCAGCGGCGAAGCTGAGCCCTGCTCTGACAACAAAGGCGAACCGTGAGCTCCTAGCGAAGCCTCAGGAACGTGTAATTTCTTTTTTTTTTTCACCGGAACATTCATTTCCGCTGATTGATGGGTCTTTTGTTACAGACTGAGGGAAATACATTGACTCTGGAAATTGTTTTACGTTGAATCAAGAAGATCGGGTGGGACTGTGGTTGTGTAGCCAGTACCAAGGTCCAAAAATCTATTCTCAACGGGCATGGTGTGATTCCTGAGTGTTTCCTCCTATTACTCAAAAAGATACTAATAGTTTCCTTTTGGGTGTTTTGGCGAGGACTAACTAACTTATATACTGTATGTATTATAGCCAGAGCCGCATTTCCCACAAAGGCCAACCGAGGCCTGAGCCTTGGGCAAGCCGGGCTAAATTTAAAGCGAGGAAGCCGCCGCTTGTTTTGTACAAGTGATCTCAGCGATGTCCCCAAGATCACTTGTATGCAACCGGCATACAGGGGGGCGCATTGAGGAACCTGGCATTGGGGCAGCAGAGAGAGAAAATCCGGCCCTGATTATAGCATTGGTGGAGTGTATTAGCCACTGACCAGTTATTGGCTAATTTAAAGAATATCACTTATGGGCTCATTTATAAAAGTTTTGCCCCCATGTATAGCTGGGAGGAAGCCGTTCGCACAGCACTAGCACCCCTAGACGGCGCTGACGAGTAAAATAGATTTCTAAACTCATCAGCGCCATCTAGGGGAGATAGTGCTGGGCGAACGGCATCCACTCGGCTGTACGCCGGGCAGAAATTTTATGGATGAACCACACCTTCTACAAAGTGGCACCAGCCGCCATTCTGATCTCCATTTGGCCACACATCTCTCCTGAAAACTTGAAAAATGAGGCGAGGCCAGACGGCAAAGTCAAAAATAATGACAGGTGAGAGGTGATAATATACAAATACACTGAGTGGCCAGATTATTATGACCACCTGACGTTTGTAGGCAAATTAGCTATAATTTGGCGCTGAAGTTGCTAGAGGGCCAGACCATTATAAATAGGGAAGCGGGTTGTTTACCACGACAGTAGAAGTGATTTCTGAAGATACGGGGAAACAACGCGATTTAACAGCCTTTGAACGTGGGATGATTGTTAGCGCTCGGAGCCATGGAGCGAGTATCAGCAAAACAGCAGAATTCGTTAAATGTTTAAGAGCAGCTGTTGTTAAAATGTTTAAAGACCGGACTGTCAGCCGAAAATCTGGGTCTGAACGTGCGAATTGTGGCCGTCAGCGACTAGTCAATGTTAGGGCAGAACGGAGAGTGGCAAGAGTGGTACAAGACAACAGAAGGGCAACAGTGCCGTGTCAGATTCCTCGCATCGCCTTTCAACATCTCGTGGAGTCACGAGGCGGCCCAACGAAGTACTGATGGGGCGGCCATAATAATCTGGCCACTCAGTGTATATTACAACAATCCTCTTCAGGTCATGTATATACATTGCAGGGATTTAGCTCATTTCATTGCAGGTTACCTGCAGACAAGGTAACTTACTCCTTCTTCCTGCCTACTAGACTCACATAATCAGTCCGGGTGCTTTAGAGAGACACATTGCATTCTAAACAACCCTGTAGAACAGTTAGGGCTGGTTGCAGTAAAGCTGAGGCTAGCTATACACGTGTAGATTTTTCTCATCTAGCCCACAAGTTGAACAAGAGAAATCACTCGATTCCCCCATCCACTCTAAACAGTATGGGCGAAGAAGTCTCCCCCTGCCAGCTGTTGTATTCAGACAGCCATCAGCACCTGCGGCTGTCTGATTGAATGCATTCTCTGTTTGGCCAACAATTTTCTACCCAGCTCCTGGGTAGCCACCTGGCTCGGAGTTTGTCAAGCCGGGTGCCAACAGGGCCAACCAGGAGTCGTGTATGACTAGCCTAAGAAGATGCCTGAAATTGAACTCAGGCTTTACGTGTACTCTTGCCATTGTTTCAGGTAAGTACAAGGGGAGGCCAATAAATTCTTACCCTCACCATGATCTAGATGTGCTAGGGATCTGAAATTTTGCAGGTTTATAAGTGGATAATACTCGTAAAACTGTATCTTTTTTGGCAGTGTAAAATCATAGCTGGCTTCAGATTGACACAAAATGTTAATCTTTAAACAAGAACTTGTTTAAAGATTAACATAAACTTACATCTGTATCCAAACCTCTGTTATTGACCTTAGTGGTGAGACAAGTTGTTTTACATGCTGGTTTGTGAGTGTGCCATGATGCCTTTCTACCAATCTTTAAACAAGCACTTTTATGGTTTTGGGATGGATTTTGATTAAGTGTATACATTTTTACACTGTTATCTTCTCTCTTTTTTCTATATTTATTTATTCATTCTTTGTTTTGCAAAAAAAAACATTTAATACATGACAAGGATTCCAAAAGCGCTAGAGGCTGAGTACAGAGAAAGCACTGCAAGTGATTATCCCTTTTCCGGAAGAATGGCTCTCAGTGAAACCTTTGGCTGAGCTACGTGAACGGGGTGAGTCACTGTGATGAGTCATCCACCTGTGAGTTCTGCATACCACAATGGGGCAAATAGCTATATAAACATGCTTAAAAGGAGCCTAAAGCTGCAAATAATGATCAACAAAGGAACTAAAATATAATATGCAACATTTCATATTCTTAACACCTTGACCATAATAAATAAAAAAATAAACACAGTGATACAAATAAACAATAAAAACACATGAATGAACAATAAAAACATTCCCCTAGAATGGGCTGTGTAGCAATATATATGTTTTAAAATATATGTCTGTATGTATATTATGTAAACAGGACAGAAATGATAAAAGGTTTCCATAATACCATGTCACAATACAAGATACGATACATGTTACCAAATATTTTATATCCTTTTTAAGTTTGAATCTATACAGCTGGCAATCAGTTAGTGAAAGGAAGGAGCAGTCATTATAGGCACACACAGTACAAGCGGGGGTTTTCACTGACACAGCAGCTTTCGTGGGGGCATCTGAAATCATGCAAGTTAGATAGATTTACCTGATATACGGGATCTTCTACATCTTCTTCCAAAATTGTCTGAAGCAAGCCAAGCAGAAGTAAGAGAGGAATAGGAAATAAAAGGCATAAGAGTGAAAACTGCAATTGGAGCGAGGGACGGCAAACACGCAGTTGGGCAAGATTGCAGATCTAAGCAAATACATAGATTTGTTGTTTTTTTAATACCTACGTCATTCAGTAGAGATTCAAAAATAATGGTTTATATATATGGAAATGGACAGTACATCATCATCATATAACCATGGACCATTCACATGCTTGTTAAAACTCCATCTGGAGCACATGTCGCACCCATTACTGTACCACTAATACTATTTTACTGTTCTATTCTAATACTATTTTACTATGTATGTATATTACTATTAATACTATGAGAGCTTTGGCTGAACATATTTTATGGCTTTGGTTGAACATAGACAAGGAAAACCAGCTATTTCCGACAGATTTCATGTCTATGGACTTTTGCTACTGGGAGGGAAAACAATCTGAAAGGTAGTAAAACGTCGCAAAACCAAACTCAGGTAGTAAAACCAAATCCCATTCCCTTTATAGATAACTAGAGCCAGCAGTGTGTACCTTGGCTGCTTTCCTTCTCCCTTTCTTCTCTTAATAGCAATAAAAAAACAACCACTTAGCCAAGCTGAGTGCCCAAGTTTATGTGAGTGCTGACTGACAAAGGTGCCAGAGGGCGGTCAGTTTTGCCTATTTGTCTCTATTTGGTCCTCTAGTTTCTCTGGGTGTATTTTCTCCAGCAGCATTTGTAGGTATCAATCATTTTAATGTTAGCTACATATAGTTCCTAACAATCCTGTTTTGTGGAAATGAAAGGAGCTGATGTATCTGTTTTTTTTCTGCCTTTCTTTTTACTGCCGGTATATCAATTGGTTTGCTTGATGCTCACGGGATTCCTTTTTAACAAATTCAGTTGAAAAGTGAAATGACAATGATTGATAAGAAGAGGTGGATCATTCTGAGCAAATGTAATAAATATATACCTTTTGGCAGCGCTCTTTCTTAACTTAATTTGAGTTCTACAAAAAGGACGATCCACGTGAATTTGATGTTTCATTATTGGCAGGTTGTGATGGATTAAACCACCCACTGCCACTTTTTATCTCTTAGATAGACTGATGGTAAGATCTATACAGTTAAAGTGACACTAAAATCTTAATAATTAATTCAGGTACATTAACAATGAAAAACAATGTATCTTATTTGTGTATCACTCGGCTGTAGATCCTCCAATCATCTCTGAATTGGTGCTGACACTGTCCTTCCTTCTGGAGGAGGGCTACGACTGTTCCCCATGGTCCCTGTGTGTATGTTGTAAAGTAGTCACCGCTCCAAGCTCACTCCTGGGATGGACTACAATCTCAATACAAATTAATAAACTAAACATGAGATTGTAGTCCATCCCGGGAGAGAGCTTGGAGCGGTGACTACAACACACACAGGGACCATGGGGAACACAAGTAGCCCCCCTCCAGAAGGAAGGACAGTGTCGGCACCAATTCAGAGATGATTGGAGGATCTACAGCCGAGTGATACACAAATAAGATGCATTTTTGTTTATAGTTAAGAAACTTGAATGCATTTTAAGGTTTAACTCCTGAGTTTAGTGTTACTTTAAGTTTCCAGGCAACCTAACACTGCATCATGGTGGGAGAACCATGGCAGTATCTTATCAATGGAGTCCTCAGAAGATATAACAAGTCTGAGTGACACAAACCATTTGCACCAAGACAAGGATGAACTATAAGTTTTGAGTGATTCTTGACACTTGGCAAACTGGCGTGGCAATCATTTCACCATACTTTAGAATGAGAGAAAACCCATATACCCTAAAAACTAAATGTAACTTTCCCTTTTTAGTAAGTCTTTCTGTCAAGACTCGGAGCTAATTTCAATTTCAATGAATTTCAATGAAAAATATTTACAAATTTTAATTAAGCTTTAAAAGAGAAGGTATAACCCTTCTAGATTGTAAGCACCCACCAGCAGGGTCCTCTAATTCTTTTGTAGTGTATTGCATTGTACTTATACTGACTTCCTATATCCTGTAAACCACTGTGTAAACTACTATATACATCCTGTCAGTGGCGTCACAAGGGGGGTGCGGGGGTGACACCATTGGAGGGGTGACACTAAAATGACTCAGTCATTTTGGTGTCACCCCCCTCTGAAAAGTCGGGCGCTCGGTCATGGACCTAACGCCCGACAGTATCAGGAGAGAGGAGGGGACCCGGCGGCATACCTTATCCCGCCGGGTGCCTGTCCCCTCCTCTCTCTGCCGGCGTCCATCACCAAGATGGCCGCCGGCCGGTATCAAAATACTGCAGCGCGTGCGCGATGACGTCATCACGCACGCACGTGGTGACGTCACAAGCATACGCAGTGACGTCTCGGCGGGGTGACACTCGGTTACCGCTCAGGGTATCACCCAGCCTCGGGACGCCCCTGCATCCTGTATAACAATAATAATAATAATAACCAGGAAAATGATGGTGAGAAGGGATAAAAAGAACCAAAAAGCCAACCACTGGTCCAGTAGGGTCTACTGTAGGCTTTAACATTACAATAGCATATAGAAAATACAATTACAATATCAAAAATATTTACTGTAACCAGATATTTTTAATCTTGGTGGCTTTTGAATGTGAGATATCCAGAGTCCAAGCTAAGCAAAAATATATGTTTATAGTTTACTGACCCTTTATATCTGGATGTATATGTACAGAAACAAGTACAGAAAAATATCTGGCCAACATTCTAAAAGGTGCAGAGCATAATATACAATATAAAGGATGAACTGAAAATATGGCACCTGCAATGTTCAAAACAAAAAGGGGCACTCCTAAAAGACCCCCAAAAATTGAGTATAGTGTATATGGAGAACAGCTCTCGCTTGTAGTATGGTGAGGAGAAAGAGAAACATTGTTGCAATTAACTGGATGCAATGTAAAGAGTTTGCCAGGATCTAATCAACGGCTGTAATGTAAATGAGTCCCTCTTATGAATGAATGAACTCTACCTGCAGGCAGTAGCGAAGATGATTGTGTCCAGAAAGAGGTCCAGTGCATGCAACTGTGTTCAAGTCAGCTCACAGTCATCTACTGCTTTTGTAAACCTACAGTCCCCTTCCTTGGTACTATACTCAGGGCCTGGATTTACTCTCTCTGCTGCCCCAAGGCCAGGTTCCTCAATGTGTCACCCCTACCTGCCACAACCCCCCCCACCACCCCCCCCCCCCCCCATGGAGAATGGCAGATCTACAGGCTGCATACAAGTAATCTCAGCATCATCTCCGAGATCACTTGTACAAAACAAGCGGTTATACATTTAGCTCTGCTTGCCCAAAGCAGGGCTAAGGCCCCATTCACACTAAGCGGAAAATCCTGCGATTTCTGCCGCGATATCGCGCATTATTGCCGCACGATATCGCGAGAAGTCGCCGGCCAATGGTTTTCAATGGAGCTGTCTTAATGTACAGCTCCATGTCGCCCGTCGCTCGTCGTGGTCGCAAATCGCGCCTGCAGGACCCTTTTTCCCACGATGTCGCGCAAATTTCCTTTTTTTAATGCAGCCTGACGGTGAAGGTCGTGCGATCGTCGATGGAACCGTCACGTTATCCCTGCGTGCGGAAATCCGCTCGAGGTGAGTGTGGCTTAGTGTGAATGGGGCCTTAATGTTGAAAACAGCTACCCGCTCGGTGCCCAAAACTGCATGTCCCGGGCATCGGGAGATAGGAATTCCACACCTCTGCTGCCCCTCTATTCCCTGCTGCCCCGAGGCCGGGCCTTGGTTGGCCTTGTGGGAAATCCGGCCATGACTATACTACTGGCAATCGATGTTCTCCATTTACACTATACAGGGAAAAAACCTATTGGGCCTAACAGAAATCCAGTGAGCTCCAAATGTCCTCTTTGAGCTGACAACATTGCCTCTTTTGCACACAGATCCCTATCAAAGCCGTCGGTCCTGTTTAAATTATCACCTGCTAGACTACAGAACACATTACTTTTCTGTTATGAAGAAGAGGGGAGGTATTCTGTAACCCAGCAGGGGGACCTCAGGTAGGGCAGACAAGATTGCTTGGCATTTCAGTGCAGCAGAGGTAGCGTTGTCAGCTCACTGAAGAGAGTCAGAATCTGGCAGATCAACTGGCAGAAAAGGGATAAAACATGGGGAGGTGTGCATGCATTGCAGAGATGTACTAAATATATGTTGCTGGACCAGACATACACTTTTTAATATCCACTGGTAACAAATTATAATTTAGTAATTTCGCTAAAATAATTTAGTCACCCAGAAAAATCAAGCAAGCTACCTAGCTCCTGACAAGCTTTACCGCTCAGCGAGACGGCGTAGGTACCTGATATACGGCCTGCTCGCACTGTTTATCCTTTTGTGCCTTCTTTTCCATTTCCTCCCTCTGCTTCAGCTCGTAGATAAGCTGGAACAAATCTCGCAAATCCAAAATGACTGGCTCGGCCTGAAATCGAAGGACAGAGTTTGAAATTAGTTTTCCGTCAGGATTTCATCTATTTCACTCCTGACAGCGGCAAAAACAACTTGGATTCTAAATAGCGCCTGACTCCGCGGCATAATCAGAGACTCGCTACACCGCCACGTTTAGCATGAAGATCAAACTTTCCCAAGGAAGCGATTTATCAAGGGGAAGGAAACGAATCTCATACTGATACTGCATACATTTATGCATCTCTCTCTCTCTCTCTCTCTCTCTCTCTCTCTCTCTCTCTCTCTCTGGCTCATGTCAGAGGATTTTGTGATAAAATATGAAGTGGTTTCAGAAATAAGATGAAAATACACCAGGCAAATGTGTATTTTTTTATCCTATGAACCTTTTCTGCATAATGTATCTGAATTTTTTATCTACCTCTGATAAATGATGCTGAAACATTGTATACTACACTCAGCTCACATCATAGTATTGAAAAATGAGCCACATGAAACATTAGTAGGTGCACCGTGTAACTGAGAAAACCACTTAGAATGCAGCCTATCCATTCACTAGAGACTGGTGACATCACTGAGAATGCAGCCCATCCATTCACTAGAGACCGGTGACATCACTGAGAATGCAGCCTATCCATTCACTAGAGACCGGCGACATCACTGAGAATGCAGCCTATCCATTCACTAGAGACCGGTGACATCACTGATAATGCAGCCTATCCATTCACTAGAGAGAAGTGACATCACTGAGAATGCAGCCTATCCATTCACTAGAGAGAAGTGACATCACTGAGAATGCAGCCTATCCATTCACTAGAGATTGGTGACATCACTGAGAATGCAGCCTATCCATTCACTAGAGACCGGTGACATCACTGAGAATGCAGCCTATCCATTCACTAGAGACCGGTGACATCACTGAGAATGCAGCCTATCCATTCACTTGAGACCGGTGACATCACTGAGAGTGCAGCCTATCCATTCACTAGAGACCGGTGACATCACTGAGAATGCAGCCTATCCATTCACTGGAGACCGGTGACATCACTGAGAATGCAGCCTATCCATTCACTAGAGACCGGTGACATCACTGAGAATGCAACATGTTATCACTGGATCAGGAACATGTAATAAAATACGGGGGCATGCAGTGTATTTTTTTTTTACTTTTAGAATTAATTCAGGAGAAGAATTGATATTTGACATGGCACCTGCGAAGATGTTGAAACTCAATATCTTATGTATGAAATATTTGGGGTTTTACGCTCAGGCAGACCCGCAGTCCGCACACTGATAACCGGTGAGGAAGTCAATTTGGCTTTTGCACATTTGCTGAAATTACATTCACCAGAAGTGGAAACGGATGGAAAAAACAAAGTAATACACTTACCGCCTGAGCAGTTTTTATTGCCACAAATCTGTGGTTTCCCTCCTTCCCGCATACGTATCCAAACGCCCGATGGTCTGTAATGTCCTTGGCGATGTATGAGATTTCGTGTACTGCATGGTGATGATGGAGGATCTACAGAGATAAAAAAGTAAAGCTCATACTTTAAACACAGAAAGATTTCAAAGACAATGAAAGTTAGAACAAATAAGAAACGGAACGGGAAATAAAAGTCTCACTGCAGCCAATTTTAGTCATTTTAGTTCAGAGAAAGATGGGAAAGGTTACATCCTCTATCACATTTCCATTTATTTCTTGTCTCTTTTGGAGAGATTTTCCATGATGTCCTGTCCTATCAAAGCTGCAACTGCCCAATGCACACACAAACACCAATAATAGTCTAATGAAGGAGCTTATCTTTCCCATTTTACTTCTATGCTGTTGTGGTCCTGTTACCATATATAGAGAGTCTAATCCTTCTCCACTTGTCCATTACTGAACAAAGGCTCAGTTGAAGTTCCACTTTAACAAACTCAAAGCTCAAGAACAACCATAGCTCTTTTTAGTTTGGGGACGAGTGGGGAAGGGTTAGTTTCACTGTCAGTTGTAGGTAGGACGAGTTCTGGGACTATTGGTATTGATAAGGTCCTAGTTAGCAGGGTTAACTTGTGTGAATGTTTCCACAGGTTCTTCTTTGTCCTACAGGGGCCGTATTAGGTCTTTGTTATAACAGTCTGATGATATAAGGTGTCATATACACCTCTCCTCCACTCCAGTACTGGGTCTCCTCTCCATGTGCCACCCACTGCAGCCAATTAGGAGGCAGCTCTGGCTTGGCAATCAAGCAAGGAGTTGGCGTGCCCTAAGCCAAACCACCCTGCTTTCATTCAAGCTCCTGTATATACCTTGTGTGCTCCTGGGACCTCAGTGATCTCTGTGAATTTAAAGCACCCTGTGGATCCTCTGTTACCCCATGCCCACACAGTGACTCCAGAGCACCCTGAGCATCCTGTGTTAACCCATGATGCCAGTGACTCCAGCGCACCATGAGCATCCTGTGTTACATACCCCATGATGCCAGTGATTTCAGAGCATCCTGTGCATCCTCTGTTACCCCATGACCGCAGTGACTACAGAGCACCCGAGCATCCTGTGTTAACCCAGTGACTACAGAGCACCCCGAGCATCCTGTGTTAACCCAGTGACTACAGAGCACCCCGAGCATCCTGTGTTACCCTGTGACCCAAGTGACTTCAGAGAACCTTGAACATCCTGTGTTACCCCATAACGGCAGTGACTCTAGAGCAGTGGTTCTCAACCGTCCTAGGGCTGGGACTCCTTGGTAACATTTGCCAGGTTGTGGTGACCCCCAACGGAGCGCTGGACTCCAGAATTAGTAAGGTGCTGGACTTGGGACTAAAAATAGAATGCACACTCACAAGAATGCAAGCCCTCCCCAGCCCCTGCTACCTGCTTGCCTGCTCTGTCTCCATGCAGCCCTCTCAGCCCCGGCACTGCTTAAACGCCCGCCTCCTGCAGAGCTCACATTGTATGGGAGGCAGGAAGACAGCAGCGGCTGTGAAAAGAAAAGCACTGCTGTACACACTCCCCGGCCACTAGATGTCGCTGCAGCGGTCAGGGAGTGTGTATAGCGGCACTTTTATATGTCCTCCCGCTGACTGACACTGCTGCGCTAGGAGGAGGCTGATGAGCCTCTCACCTAGCGCAGCAGAAGTGGATGCTGCGACCCCCTCAACAGTGAGTTGCGACACACTTTTGGGTCGCGACCCACAGGTTGAGAACCGCTGCTCTAGAGCATCCTGTGTTACCCTGTGACCCCAGTGACTCTAGAGCACCCTCAGCATCCTGTGTTACCCTGTGACTCCAGGGAACCCTGAACATCCTGTTTCAGCCCATGACCTCAGTCATCTCTGTGATATCTCTATCCCTGTGGATACAGACCCCTGTCCACAATAAAAGGTTTAAAAAACACCATAACAATTGTTTCTGTCCAGACCTATTTTATTTGTTGTTGTGTTAAACAAAAATCCAACACATTTTGGGGAATTGAGGGACCTCCTTCAACAGGGCTTGGAAACACAGAAAAGATAGCAATAGGACCAGTAACGTTTATTATTATTATTCACGATGTATATAGCAGCAACAGTTTGCTCTTTACAATAAAAAGATTAAACAGTTACAATACATTTAAAGACAAGATGATAAGGAGGACCCTTATCATCAGAGCTTTCAAGCTAAAATAAAGTCCTGGTCCAGGATATTGCTAAGATCACATGATCGCCATACCGGGAACTCCGAGAGCAGTGCAAATTATTATAAGTTTGGCATTGTTAATGCCGCAGCAAAATGGACTGAACAAGGTCAGACCTTGAAGACCAAAACATGTATCATTGTCATCTTCTGCTTTTGTACCATTCCACTACTTTACAGAGCCAATGGGGGCACCTTGATTTGTGCCGTTAGGCTGTATTTTAATGCAAAGCCTACTTTAAAAAAAAATACTCTCCAATTCAGTCACTGAAAACCACCAGCCGTCAGATGATGACACTGTTGTGGATTATGCTAAAATAAAACATCCACCTTGATTGTCATGTTAGATTTTCAGTCTTGGACATGAGGAAGTAGAAGTGGAAGAAGGATTTTTTTATTCCTTATCAAGTGTGGTGGATTATGGGATAACGCTCCCAAATAGCTGGTATTAGGGGGCTTATCGTTCTGTGATCCCGGGTAATACAGCCGGCTGATTGTTGTATTGATCGTGGAGAAAGAAAACATCTCTACTTTCCAAACAGTGGTGACAATAAAGAGGTTATCAAAGAAATATGATTCCATATTAAAAGAATTATCTTGTTATTGCCATAACAGAGCTCACATTGTATGGGAGGCAGGAAGACAGCAGCGGCTGTGAAAAGAAAAGCACTGCTGTACACACTCCCCGGCCACTAGATGTCGCTGCAGCGGTCAGGGAGTGTGTATAGCGGCACTTTTATATGTCCTCCCGCTGACTGACACTGCTGCGCTAGGAGGAGGCTGATGAGCCTCTCACCTAGCGCAGCAGAAGTGGATGCTGCGACCCCCTCAACAGTGAGTTGCGACACACTTTTGGGTCGCGACCCACAGGTTGAGAACCGCTGCTCTAGAGCATCCTGTGTTACCCTGTGACCCCAGTGACTCTAGAGCACCCTCAGCATCCTGTGTTACCCTGTGACTCCAGGGAACCCTGAACATCCTGTTTCAGCCCATGACCTCAGTCATCTCTGTGATATCTCTATCCCTGTGGATACAGACCCCTGTCCACAATAAAAGGTTTAAAAAACACCATAACAATTGTTTCTGTCCAGACCTATTTTATTTGTTGTTGTGTTAAACAAAAATCCAACACATTTTGGGGAATTGAGGGACCTCCTTCAACAGGGCTTGGAAACACAGAAAAGATAGCAATAGGACCAGTAACGTTTATTATTATTATTCACGATGTATATAGCAGCAACAGTTTGCTCTTTACAATAAAAAGATTAAACAGTTACAATACATTTAAAGACAAGATGATAAGGAGGACCCTTATCATCAGAGCTTTCAAGCTAAAATAAAGTCCTGGTCCAGGATATTGCTAAGATCACATGATCGCCATACCGGGAACTCCGAGAGCAGTGCAAATTATTATAAGTTTGGCATTGTTAATGCCGCAGCAAAATGGACTGAACAAGGTCAGACCTTGAAGACCAAAACATGTATCATTGTCATCTTCTGCTTTTGTACCATTCCACTACTTTACAGAGCCAATGGGGGCACCTTGATTTGTGCCGTTAGGCTGTATTTTAATGCAAAGCCTACTTTAAAAAAAAATACTCTCCAATTCAGTCACTGAAAACCACCAGCCGTCAGATGATGACACTGTTGTGGATTATGCTAAAATAAAACATCCACCTTGATTGTCATGTTAGATTTTCAGTCTTGGACATGAGGAAGTAGAAGTGGAAGAAGGATTTTTTTATTCCTTATCAAGTGTGGTGGATTATGGGATAACGCTCCCAAATAGCTGGTATTAGGGGGCTTATCGTTCTGTGATCCCGGGTAATACAGCCGGCTGATTGTTGTATTGATCGTGGAGAAAGAAAACATCTCTACTTTCCAAACAGTGGTGACAATAAAGAGGTTATCAAAGAAATATGATTCCATATTAAAAGAATTATCTTGTTATTGCCATAAAGACCACAAAATCCGCAGAATTTCCAAATCGGCTCTGCTTGGGTTTCACTATGCTATAGAACAGCTCACAATATATTTTGTATAAAGGAAATGTTTGACTATAATAACAATCTTCCCTGTTAGACTTATAGATCTAACAAGCACAACCTTCTACATTTGTTCCTTGTTATGTTCTGTAACATTAGAGTGTATGTAACGGGGTTCATATCTCGTCAGGACGCTATCTGCTTGCAGTTTGTATATTCTCCCTGTGCTTGTGCGGGTTTACTTAAAGACATGATGGTAGGTTAATGAGTGTGTGTGTGCGGGTCTAAAAAAGATTCCAACTGTAGCTCCTATGGCAGACCCTGCTAACACTCTATTATACACATTTCAAGCATGAAGGCATAGCAATGTAAAGTTCTAAAGTTTGAAGTGTACTGAAGATTACAACATGGGGAATGGGACAGATTTTTTTTTATACCTTTGGATAGAGTTTTGAAGGTTAAGACCCTTTTAGTAGACATGTGCGATTCGTTTCGTTACGATTTTCCTGAAATTCGTAGATTCGTAAGCATACGAAATCCGAATGGCAGTTTCCGAATTATATCCGAAATACAAAATTCCGTTAACGAATTTCGGATCCGAATTTCTTTGAAACAGGAACTAATATTACCCCTGTAAATGAGGTTGAACAACATGTCAAGATTTTTTTTTTAATCCGAAATACGGATCCGCTGCTGCTGAGGGTCGCATTACAATACACAGGCAGGAAATACGAAATTCCGTTGACGTATTTTCGTTACGTTACGAACATTCATTATATATCGAAGTTAAAAAGCAAAGTACATTTATATTGGAGTTGATGGTAGTTTTTTTTTTATACGAAATTCGGATACGGAATCCGTTAACGGAATTCGTATTTC